GTAAGGGTTCTTGGATATAGAGGACTGCAGCTAATCAAGCGCAAGTACATATTTAGACGTATGTAGTGGGAAAACATAATGAGAATAAATGAACAAGTAAAGGTTGAATAGAAAAGGATTTGAATGATGTTTTTAAAGACTAAATGCATATTAATTATTGTATAAAATTTGTAGCAAACAACTCGTAGTATACAATGAATAGACAATGTTATATTTTCATGGCATACTAGTGTATATGTAACAAGAAATGAAACTTCATTACCATAGTGTGCATACTACTAGCTTCTCTTGATTCAACAGAGTCTACATAATTGAAGACGATTGGGAGAAGCTGCAAGAAACACTTTCAAAAATATCAAAGCAAATGAGAGGAACAATCAGAGATTCTGAAACCAATCTTCAAATAGCAATAGAGAAAGCAAGGAGACTCATGGACTCAGTGGGGACTAACCATAGGCTCACAAATGAGGCACATGCATCCACTGAGATGATCTTGGATTGTGGTTTCTTTTTGAAAAAGAATCTTGCAGATGATAATCCCTCCTCAGAGCAGGGCAGTAGGAGTGTTATGTCTAATAATAGTAAGTCTTCATATTCAGAAGTGAATGAAGTAGGTATAAGTATAGAGGGTCTAAATGTGAATGAAGGGCAAAAGCTGATAAGCATTGCAGATCAATTAAGACAGCAAAAAGAAGAGTTCTGGGAATCCCTAATCAAGCGTGGTTTTATGAAGCCTCAAGATGTTACTGTTGAAGGAGCAGAGGCAGCCAAGGAAGTCATAGACAAAATTATGCAGAGTAAGGCTCAGCTTGATTCTGCTGTTGTTGCAGAAGCTAGTGTGCCAAGAAAAGCTACAATGATTAACACTGAGCCAAGAGTCCAGGAAATAAGCAAAGCCACTTTCAAAGTCAGGGCCTCATTAACAAATGCAAAAAGAAATCAGACTCTGAGTAAAACACAGGTTTGTCAAGAGGCTCAAGTCTCTCTTCTATCTTCCTATTCCTCCTCAGATGGTTTTGCTGACCAGTCAACCAACTCATGTGAGAAGTCTGACAGTACATATAGTACATCACACCAGTCCTCTGATCAGTTGGAGAGCTTCCCGTCATATGATGGGATAAGCAATGGAGAGTAAATGTGAATGAATTAGCTAAAAAGTACAACCAAAAGTAAGCTTGAATCTAAACCTATATTATGTATAATATAAATGTCACTGTTTTTTCTGTGAATGTTTTTCATGCCCATTTTTTTAAATGAGGTAAGGTTTATAATTAAAACTGATCTGATTGTAAATACAATTTTCTTACTCAAAGAAATAAATATTAAACCCAAGTGTGTTTTCAAATCCATTATAACCCACTTATGTAAAATAGGCAGACAACCGCATATACAAAATGCATAATGGCATTAATGAATTTTATGTAGAAATCAGGACCTTCACACCATATTTGCAGAGCCCTAAGAGTTAACATCACTAGTCAATAGTGTAAATAAGTTATGTTAAATATTAAATAGCAGTGTTTACCTTCATATTAAAGACCCCCCCTTCCTTGCCCGTTGTTATCGTGGGGGCTTAGGAGGCAAGGACTGGGACCCAATGCTGGGGATCGCCCCTACCATGGGCCTCAGCCCTCGACTCAACTAATTTTGCACGTTTTTTTCCCCTTCTGTTTTTTTCGTTTCTGTCCCATCTCCAACCCCTTCTGCTATCCAGTTCCCAAGGTGTAAGAGCTGTGCTGAAAGGATGAAAGGCTGACTTTGTGCCAGTCCTGAACGGCCTAAGGGAGTCATGGGCACGGTATTCCGTTTTACTTGTCTAGCCCTTACCCCTGAGGGTGGACAGTTTCTTTCCCCTACATAGTCCAGGCTTACCAATAATGAATATGTTATATCCTTGTTAGGGGCAGTGAGACTTACCCCTTCATCAAATAACCCCACCAATTCAAACTTTCCCGGTTCCCCAACCCAGGCTTTCATTTGACCACGACTGGGAACACTGCAACTACTACCCACTCGTCAATGCCAACAAGTACATTATCCACCCAAGTCGAGACTCGGTCTTCACCTCTGCTCTCATAACCTTCTTCATCAATCACTCCATCCTTCCGTATTACTATTTTACTATTCTGCAGCCTTATTCTCCACCTCTCCGTACCCCACTCAACAATACAAATATCTTAAATACTCAATTTAGCCCAGCCAAATGAGACTGATTTTTCGTGATCCCCCTACAGCTCCTTACTTAGACAACCCTTTCTCTTTCTGCAAATACAAGTAGGCTTCAACTCCAACCCAATGATAAGTGAGGTACACTTCCACACACACAAGCGGGGCATGGCGCCCACGTAGTTTGGACTATTAGCATGTTCCCACGTAGTCTGATCTGTGAGCTTGCATGCTGCAATATGTCATGTAGTATGTTATACTCTTTATTGAAATTGTTTCCTCTTGCTTTACTGAAATTTTCTTTCTCCCTCTCTTTTTCTCTCTTTTTTCCTTTCATACATACTCTCTCTCTTTGGTCTGTGAGCCTACATATCTGGGGCCGGATATACTAACGTCTTACGATATTGTAAATGGTCTGTTTATATCGTAAAACAAGTTACTCTCGTTTCTCTCAACGAGCGTATTTTCAAAACACTCCCGAGGTCGTAAACACATCTCCGTACAAGAAACATTTACGGGAGCCCGAAACCTCTAGTGACGCTTATCGTAGCGACCCTTCTCAGCTCATATTAGCTTCATAAATACCTTCAGGAGTGTGTAAATGTCACTTTGCCATGTAGAAATCAATTAATGTGCAAGAGCAACCATTGAGGATGCATAATAACGAAAAAATATATATATAACTAATGTAAATAAGGATTGGCCTTGCCAGTGCATAGAGGTGCGGAAACTCTTGATGTAAACCACTCAGCAAGTTTAATTTATCATGAATTAAAGGATCTCTAACACATCTTCAAGTACAAAATCTGAATGAAAATGCATAATTCCATCATTATGACTATTTCCTTATAGCAACAAAACACAATAAATATTTAATAAATGTTACCAATATACAACACACCTCTTAATAGCCTAAAGTAAAATTACATTTAGCATTGGATCCATTTCTTTATGAATAATGATTAAGATGAAAGTTTTACTGGATTGTAACAAATTTCAATCATAATATCTTGTATAACAAAATGCTTGATTTTTTTTTTTTTTTTTTGAGACAGAAACGAATATAAATGTGTGTGATTTCTTTCCCTCTACATATATGTCTATATATATACTATATTCATACATGCATATATACATACAATTCTATATATACAAAAATATACATTTATATGTATATAAATATGTGTGTGTGTGTGTGTGTGTGTGTGTGTGTGTGTGTGTGTGTGTGTGTGTGTGTGTGTGTGTGTGTGTGTGTGTGTGTGTGTGTGTGTGTGCATATATACAAACATACACACACACACACACACGCACGCACGCACGCACGCACACACACACACACACCACACACACACACACACACACACACACACACACACACACACACACACACAATATATAATATATATATATATATAATATATATATATATATTATATATATATATATGGAGAGAGAGAGAGAGAGGGAGGGAGAGAGAGAGAGAGAGAGAGAGGAGAGAGAGAGAGAGAGAGAGAGAGAGAGAGAGAGAGAGAGAGGAGAGAGAGAGGAGAGAGAGAGAGAGAGAGATGGGTATAGCTTTAGCTATATATATATATATATATATATATATATATATATATATATATATATATATATATATATATATATATATATATAGGTATCAGAATTTATAAGACTATTCATAAAGGTGGTAATGATCAATATCACCAGGTGGTGATATAGAAATTATTTTAAGTAAATCTCATTAGTGTTGCATCAGTTCAGCGAGCTAACTAGCTGATTGGTCGATCGAGCCGTTCTTTTAGGAAATAAAACCCTACGACACCTAGCAACAGAAATTCGGTCGTGACGGTTACGAGACCCCTGGACTCTCGTTGTTTGGCGTTTGACAATGGGTCGTTACGTCGTTAGTTGAGAAAACGTTGATAGTTCTCGTAACTATTACGAGAGACAGCGTTTACGAGAGAGTTTAGTAAATCCGGCCCCTGCTTGGCGAAGTACTCACGCCTCGTCCTAGAGGCGTTGATGTGTTTTGATTTGCCTCAAGGGTGACCCATCATCGGACCCGATCTGCTGGTCCTCGTTTTCATGTTCTTTCCTTGATCATCCTCGTGTTGCTCCTTGTTGGCCTCTTCTTGGCTCTTGGTGAATCCATACGTCCTCGGAAGTCTCGCCTAGGTCTTCCTCGACTTCCTGGTAGTCCTCGTCAAGGTGTTATATGGTGCCGTATTCGTCCACACATCCTCGCAGATCTCTTCCATGGGCCGGATTTACTAACGTCTTACGATATCGTAAATGGTCTGTTTATATCATTAAACAACTTAATCTCTAGTTTCTCGCAACGTGTGTATTTTCAAAACACTCCCGAGGTCGTAAACACATCTCCGTACAAGAGACATTTACGGGAGCCCGAAACCTCTCGTGACGTTTAACGTAGCGACCCTCAGCTCATATCAGCTTCATAAATACATTCAGGAGTGTGTTAATGTCACTTTGCCATGTGGAAATCAATTAATGTGCAAGAGCAACCTACTGAGGATGCATAGTAACGGAAATAAACATTATGACTAAAGTAAATAAGGATTGGCCTTTGCCAATGCATGGAGGTGCGGAAACACGATGTAAATCACTCAGCAAGTTTAACTTATCATGAATTAAAGGATCTCTAACACATCTTCCAGTGCGAAATCTGAATGAAAATGCATAATTCCATCATTATGACTTTTTTCCTCTATACCAAAACATAATAAAAATGTAATAACAAATGTTACCAATATACAAACGCACCTCCTAATAGCCTAATGTAAAATTACATTTAGCATTGGATCTATTTC